AAATACGATTAAATTAATAAATTTTTTCAACACAGTTAGTTTCAGCGCTGAAGTGATGAATGAATGAATACATTGACGATAATCTGACGATAATCTAAGCACATATAAAAAACAAAGAAAAATAAAGCATGTAATCTATTCATATTTCACGTAACAGCTTGGTTCTTGATCATCTGCTGTTCGCTCTCTTTTTCTATTCACAATCAGCATTCTCTAAGTGCATGGATATATAGCATATAATGATCTTTTATTCGTACTGTTCCTGAAAAAGGATGCAGATGTGAATCACCCTATACCCGAGATTCAACGCAGGGTTTCGCTGAGAATTACTACGAAACATGTCATCCCATCCCCTTTCAAAATCTTGTTAACGATAAGATTATCATCACGGTACGCATCATTTCCAATCCTGTTAAATCATATCAAGTTTTCGTACACAATCTCTCCATGGTGATCAATCAACTGTTAACATCAAGCTCAAAATCAGATTTAGGATCAGCCTCCAGTTTAGTTCTTTCTTGATATACAGGACTTCTTGACCTGCTGGTTGAGAATTTCCCCTTAGAAAAAGACATATACAGTTTTTAAAAGATTTCTGCGATGCCTACCTGCATTAAGGGATAACTTCAGGAAGAAATAATAGGGATATTTCATAGAAACTCCCACGCACTTTGCTTGAATTCTGCACATAATTATCATCGTTGCAATTTGTTGCCAACGATACGAGCAAGGTGCTGGCTGCTTTATAATGCTTTGGTGATGCGAGAATAACAAATAGCTGTCTACTTCATTGTTGTAGCACGTTCATGTCTCAGTTCTTCATCCATCCATAAATGCATCGTTATGAAAAGTGATATAATATCCATTCGTCGATGCAAATATTCCATATTATGATCCTTACCAACACAAGCAATCATCAATTTTTATTCATTATCGCAGCGTTTAAAAGGCTGCTCTTTTCGTATTCATGTCGGAAGTGAGCCACTATGTTCCCGGAAACAACCTTCATTCCAATCGTTTTCATTAAATTTTACACAAACCATGCAACGATGGATGTTTTCTGTTTTGTTACAAGATACTTTATTCGGAAATATTAGTAACAAGAAAGAAGAGAAGAGAAGGGATGTTATCAACAACACATGGATGCTTGATTGTATGACAATGATCATTGTGGCAGGGCAACGGGTTTTATCAAATGAGAAAATTTAACGATTTATGTATCGATAGGTTTTTATTCGTTTACAATATTATAGTTTTCATGCATCCATCTATTCGACTCACTCGCGTTGAATTTTGTATGAGGTGAATAGAATTTTTGAAATGAAAATGAAGAATAAGATATAAATTTTATGGCAGTTGAATATTGGATGTTGAATTCATCCATCATATATTTTTATGACACAAATGAATTCGACAAATTTGGTTGGATATTCGTCAGCAAAAAATGTTAGGAGACTTGTATGAATGGTGCAGCTTTATTCAATCGCAGAATGACATAGTTCGTTTGGAGTGAGGTCGTTTGTACACTTAACATGAATATGTTTTGTCAATTGCATGAAAATAATTTTATGAGTTATCACGTTTGCATTCGCTGTCTTGTATCGTTCTCCCATCCATTAGGCCATTTTTCTATCCGCTCGTCACTCATTAGAGAAAAGAGAATATTAGATACCAGGTACAATCTATTGGTTTGTCAGACATATTTGCTTCGAGTTACAGTTCCAGATGAGATTGCAACTTTGTGGTCATGCAGAACGATCACTCCTTTCTTTTGCACAGATATCGACATGCATTAGTAGAAGATCGCCTGACGTTCATTTCTTGGCAATTTATAATGAATGAAAGAAGAGTGGTTAATTGAGCTTTTCAATGAAACTGATTCAGTACTGGTGCTAGCCCATACATATAGATTTGGCTGGAATAGGGCGATTAGTTCATGCAAGGAATGACAGTACATTATTTAACCCTCTCTCCACTGTTCAATCATCAGTATATTCGTAAAGCTGATTATAGAAGATGACGATGATCGTAATGGGTAAAGGAGCCGAAAGTGATGAGAAGAAGATTGCTATCAGAGAAGAGGATTGCTGTCATCACTCGATGAAAACGATTCGATTAAGGAAATGAGATTTGGAATGTGTTGCATTCGTTCCCTTCCCAACAATCTCCTTTATTTTTCCATTTAATTTCCTGTCAGTGCACATCGTCTGTCTCTATCGCTTATTTTTCGATCGAGTGATGCTTTTTTGCAACTCAATCAGTCGTGAACAATTCTCATTCGCCGTTCACTTTCATCGCTTATTCTGTGGTATTGTAGTGAGGCAATCATTAGATTGAGTGCACGATCAATCCACAAACTCAGACCCAATCACTTATATACGTGCAGTTAACATTGCCAAATCCAGCAATAGTATTTCAGCCTTTCAATAACACTTCATCCGCATTTATTTTTATTCATATCGTATACACATGTTCGCGTCATGGCTACATATCTTACGATTAAATTAGTTAGCCAGATCATAATTGCAGTCTGACATTCCCAATATTTTGATGTACGGTTCCCTTCTTGTCACTTTAAAGATTCAGCTTTATTGAGCAGTTCTTTATCCTGTAATCGAACGCATACGATTTGTTACTTTAAAATTTACTGGTGACGACATGCATTTTGATCTGGTATAGTACATAGGTGTTTTCTGGTTACCTACAAATTTATACACACATCGAATACGGCTCTTGAATGAGCAGTTGGCTTATTGTGGCACCAAATGTTTGCTTTTACTTGTGGTGGAGTCAAGCAGTAATGAAGCCATTCAATTATGGATCAAATCGATGTGTGCTTATCGCAAGTTGTTGAAGTTGATCAAATTTGTTGATGTAGATTGTTGTTAGTCAGATGGGTTATGTTTAGTGCTTCTTTCATGAGGCAACTATCTAAAAAATGAAAGGCATTCACCAATACTCACTTCTTTTACGCCTCCCGCAAACAAATTAATGTCTCTCTTCCTTTCATCAGTCAATTTGGTCATATCACTCAGGTATAACATTCAATCTGACAGGCACATTTGTCTATTGATTTATTTAAGTAACTTTCACAATTCGTCATGAGCATATTAAGCCTTTCACNATTTTTATTCAGCAGTAAGTTGACGGATTCGGCAAAAGTATCGCATAGTAACACGATTCATCAGCGATTCCATCAATTCACTGCTTAATATGAGAGACATGATCGTTCAATAATATCAGTCTTTACATCGCAAAAATTCTCGAGAAAAACTAAATTTATTTAATGATCTAATGATCTAATCATTGTGTGAATAATGCATTCCAAGTAAATCACAATTTGAAAAAAAAAAGAAACGGTATCGATAGCAATTTGAGCGATCGTCCGAAGGATACCTTACTGAGTTCCAGGTATCGTTTGGAAGTTTTGATGATCAGACAACCACAGCGACTCAGCTGAGGTATATCATACCACAAATTCGAATAACAACTGATCGACGAATCTCGACAAATTCTGCACTTCGTTTCACACGAACCTTCTCAAGCGATTCAATTAATTCATTGGAGAAGTTGTGTTGGAGGGATTATTGTAAGCAGCATTCGCTGATGCAAACCGAACACGAGGTAAGCCTTCTATTTCATTCTGCAATTATCATCAAGACTTATCGAAAATGAAGTGAGTAATGGAATCTCGTTGAAAAGAGCAGTAGAATTAGTAAAATGAGACTCTTGTCATGCATATTATATCATTTAGCATTCATTGTTAAGTATTTAAACGTCGTGCATGAATGCATCTCATTCCAAATAGATCACCCCATATTCATGCTCTATTTGTTTAATCACCTCATCTGCAATTAATTTCCAACTGAAAAGAATGAGATATGCGCTGGTAACGTATATTATTGTGAGATATTAGGCAGCAGTCACCATCAAATTGATGTTAAATATCCCATCTCGTGATACTTCTACGTCATTCGTTGACTTGCTCCTGCGCAATCAACTTACTCGTTATGAACGCGAATATGAACCATTAACGCTGAACTGAATGGCCCAAAACATTTGAATTGATGCAATGAAGTTTAAGGAGACGAGCTTCTCAGCTGATACATTAATGCCAACTGTGTCAACAATATGTCCGTCACTTGGAACAGTTGGCAGGTCCAAGACAGATCCTGGAACGGATGATGAACAACCATCACGAAGTGATTGTTCTGTCAAGTCGTCGAAACCATCTTTCGATTACAATGTACGTCAGTTTCATTCTCAATTCAATCACTGCATAGTCCGAACAAAAGCTGAGGCGGGAAATCTTTTGACGCTGGTCGAGTAGAGTGGTAAGATACAGAGAAGGAATTTTCGCTCGAATCTTGAGTAGAGCGGTGAGGTGCCCGAGCACACAACATTTCGATCGGTAGGATTTAATCGTGAAATATTTATGTTTTTAAGGAACTGTGTTTTGTTTCGTTGATTGCATTCTTGATGGGTTGTGCCAATAATCGATGTCTGGATAAAAAAACTGCTTTTTAATTCCATTAGGTCTTCATGTGTGCAGTTCAGTGATTGCAGTTGAAAACAATCTCATCTGATGGTGTCGATACTAGCATTTTACCGGCATTAAACGAGACTATCGGATTGACGCCTTATCAACAGAAATTAATCACTCAGTCGTGGCCAAATATCTATTCGAATGGACCGAATGGTGTTTTTGCGAGTAATATTTACAATAATTTATGCAGTCGAAACACAAAAGCAAAAGCACTCATGCAAAAGGTTTCTATGCCTATTTTATAATTTTTCCTTGACGTAGCAGTTTTTTGTGAAAGTTCAGGAGATCTGGCGATAATGACGCTGTTGCTAGTTGAATATCACTTCAATGATTTATGACAGCATAGCCATTTACTTTTACTTGAACAACCGAAATTCTCACCGTGAATTTAATGCAACAAATTACGAACGTTCAGTGAAAAACTGCGTAGCTAGAAATTAGATACTGTGTTGCAGCAGTCTCAAGAGGGACTGTAAAGAATTGTTGTTATTGAAGGCGGATACTGCATCAGTGTTTGCGCAGAGCGATATGGATTGCTCAACGATGCATACAAGACTGACATTGGATTTAATTGATAACTTGATCAAAAATCTTGATCAAAAACCTGACCGTTTCATTGAGTATCTCACCGATATCGGACAGCATCATCGATTTCTAAAAGCCGAAGGACTTAGTCAGGCTGCATGGGATGATTTGGGTGAGTGAGCGACTTATGCTGTTTCATAGAACTTATTTTATTTCATTCGGAGTGAATTAAATATTCATACAAAACAGTTCATATTCATCCATCCGATGCGAATCGAAAATCTTAACTACGGATAGGCTGAAGGTGCACTTAACATGTTTATTCTCGAAGGATTAGTATCATCCATCAGTGAGTGAAAACGGTATGTAGAGTAGACGGTTTTGAGAAGAGAGAATGGTCTTCTCAAAACTTTCGCTTGTTCCAAAACGTTGAGAACAATATTGGTTCAGGGAATCTTTCGAATCACACTGTGTGTCGCTTCAAAGTTGGATTTGTTTATTCATAAAATTGTATAAACGAATTATGGCAAGAGAAATGACAAGTGCCTCTTTTGGACGAACTCTTCAATGTTTATGATATTGAAGGTGATGCGATACTGGACGCGGTACGTAAATTTGACTTGGTCCGAAAGCATAAAGAATTACGACGGGCATGGCTGGCATTAGTGGCGTTCATAATTGATAATCTCAAACAGGGACATACTTCGTTTCGAAGCAGCCGACAATCATCCGTCGATATTTGCGATAATAAAACACTTTAGCAGATAACATCCTGCTCCATACCCTCAACGATCATCCGTCCTTCCGCTTATCTTCTGCTCTGTATTATACCTGTCCAAATTCATTGCTCTTATGAATTTTCAATGTGTCATTTCACCTGAAGTGGAATGCACACACAGGAGTGATCATAAATACTCTAACGTTCTATCAGTCACTCTACCCATCCAGCTCTAAGTCCACCTCAACAGCGACACATCTCAATATGAGGTCTCGTCAACCGTCGCTTTTTCTAGTTTGGATAGCTACAGTATAGTTGGTGAAGGGCTTGATGCAGTCGTTTCATTAGAGCACAAATTCAACTGTGAGCGTCAATCGTAGTACTTACTCGAACTTATGCACAGATATTCGCCGACGTGCGACAATGGACCTTTGTTATAAGTCTGACCGCAGTTGAGTTTTATTTATTGAGCATAGATAAACATGTTTTAACTCATCGGTAATACACTGGTAGCTAATTTTACGAACACAGTTCGTTCCAATATTTTGTTCATAATCATATACGCAGTAATCAGTGCAAAATGAATTCTTTCGTTTCATCCAACCACTTGTTCTCAGTTTAAATTTATATCGTATATCAATAATTTCATTGTAAAAATGCTCCTGGAGAACGAAGTAAAATAGAAAATTAAGAATATGGCATTTGATCAAAATCAGAGCCATCTCCTTTGATAAACTACAGAGAGTGTCACATAATCGACCTTCAGTATTACTAATAATTTTCACTAGAACCTAGTTATGAGTTATCCGTTTCCTATAACATCCAGGACTTTTCTGACTGAACCTGGTTGCGAATCCTGAATTCCTTAAAAATGGAGCAACCTCTCCATTGTCATTGCAGAGGTCCTAAATAGCCTCTCGAGAACCCGTCTTCCTTCCACCAGAGTAGATTACACCAGTTCAGTCAACGGAAATACCAAAACCCCTTACAATGAAATCAAAAATGAAACTTAAACCCTAATTACTGATACACTTGTATAATTCCGTTCAATAAGCCACACACTACCAAGAAAATAACAGAATCCCATCACGAATCTTTTTGTACGTTTTGTTTCGCGTGAGAGCATGATGGAAAATTGTAAGATCGACGGAAACGTTCGTAAAGCAAAGCAAATCTTTACCGAAAGTTTTCTCATAAACTGAGCGTCCAATATATTCTTATAAAGAACATCTGTATGGAATGTTTGTGACGATTACTTTTGCCACTGAAATTACCTACGATCCTCATGCCATCCATTTTGAAGCTGACACCTCTAATCGAGAGTGCAGCGTTTCGGTTCGCTCTGCTTCGGTTCATGACAATAATTTATTCCCAAGTATATAATAACTATTTGATGACACATGTATCGATAAATGTAAGTGTAATTCAAGGAATAATGTACAGATAGAATAATGGATACATGAAGCAGGTCCGCGACCACAGAGGGTTATGAGCGACTCAAACACACGGCATCGAGCTGGAGCCCGCCGAATATCACCAAGCTCGAGGTTGCTAAGTGCTCAACAATTTTGACTGGGTATATAGAGTCGCTTTCCTCTTGTCCAAATGATGTGCCTAATTCCTTTGCCACACTGAATTTACAATCAATCCCACTGAAAGAGTTAGGCAGTAGATGTTATCAGTCAAACGATTTGCAAGTGCTTCTTTGCTGCTTCATCACTTTCGTCTGCAATTGCAACTACCTGCAAATGTATGTTTGATTCATTCATTCTGTATTGCAATTTGACCGATAGGCTTTTCGATAATTGTTGAAAACGATTAATTTATTCGTTTGAGGTAAAAGATTCAGCTGCAGGAGCGCGGACTTATAGTCAACTAGGCTCAGGCCTATATTTAAGCTTGCCTCAAATTCAATCTTTTGTTAGGCAGACAGTTGACTCTGTTGCAAACGACATCAGCAAGATTGCGGACAGCATTTTTCAACACTGATTTTTATGAATATTTCGTATATTAAGTTAATCATTGAGAAGACGACACAAACGCGCCCGATTCTAACAAATGCATCAGATTACTGCTATACTGATAACCTTTTGCTGCGGAAAAATTTGCATCGGAACATGCGATCGATAACAGCAGGTATATACACACCTGCAACCTGGAATTTCTTGGTCGGACGAATATTGCGTAGGCTAATGGCAGTACGGCGAAAGAACATAATTTGAGCATTGTTGACGTATTGAAAATATCATCCCAACCGCGTAAATCCGAAAGAATGTAACCAGCTTGTACGCATATAAAATTGTACGGTGCTAAGCCTGTGATTGATCACTTGCATTAATTACAACTTCAGTGGTGTGATAAATCACAGATTGTGATGTAATAGAACGTTGAGTAGTCAAGAGCTATGTTCGTCGCAGTCACTCATGGAGGATTTCCAATAAAGCGTGCTCCTCACTCATCGCTAGTTTAAAATCACTTATTGCTTATGCCTACTACTCTCGCTTGTAGTGGGCATAAGCATGAGCAGATTCAATGTTGTTCACCCGCTGCTTAAGAAGAGGAATGATTTCAGCTAAAAACTACCCTATGGATTCCCTAAAATTCCTTGAAAAGGCAATATTCCAATGCTTGTCTTCAAAGAAAACGTTATTCCTAGCTTTAAAATTGAGTATCAATCTAAATTGATAATAATACCAACTAAAGATTGATTGCATTGCTACAAAAAGAAGTCAGTGACATGAAACCTACCGATAAATGCCGAGAATGCAAATATGGGAATCGGAATATTCAAGTAAGGAGCGACGATATTTAGTAACCAACTGGGTGAGATCGGAAACATTCTTGCGAATAACAGAAATGGTAATAATCGATTCGAATTATCATCAATCTGAAGTATTACTATCTGTAACCACAAAATAACCACATCATATTCATTAATTTAAACAAATTGTATCTCATTTGCTTATTTATTAAAAACTGTCTTTGGTTGGACGCTCTGACTGAAATATTCACACCTTGGAAGTAGAAAGTATATCCTGGAGCATTCTTGTTTTTTCCGATTAAAAGCTGTGTCACTTAGAGCTACATTATAAATAATTGTACGCAATATTCGATTCAAGTTGATTCACATCGAATCATAATTTTTATGAGTCGCACTATGGTTGAGCGGACACGGGGAGTTATTTGGACGTGATGGAAGAAGTGCGACTCGGTGAACATTACTGAGAATAAGGACATCGTAAACGCTGTTCTTTTCACGAACGCCATTCGCTACGCCACTTTTATAGTATTCTGTGTTACTTCATAGCATTTTTTAACAACAAATAAAGTGATTTTGGAAACGATTCTGCCTGAATATGACTCGATAATGTTGAACAACTTCGCTTATTACTTTAGAGCGCAG